CTTTCTAAAATGTTACTTTCAATTGAAGTCTTACTGATCCTTAATATTTATAAACCATACAAAATTTGGCACTAGTAAAGGTTTATCGGGATATATACTGCAGTTTGATCACGTTACTCAGAATCATTGTCTAAAAAAATATACTGCTGTACCTTACACTTGTTAACCCACAGATCAGTACTGTCAGCAATCATGGGTGTAAAATTTATGGCCCGCAGGCTGGATCTAGTCCATAGAGCCTTACCATCTGACCCCTGGTCCCAGAGCAATGCACAAGCAGCATGTGGGGCACGCTGGATAGCCCTGTGTGCTGCATGTAGTGATGCCTCCAGGTCACAATCTAGAGCAGTGGAGCAGCCATTGTGTGTAGCATAGCCCTAGAGCCATTGCATGCCACTCTAGGGCCATGATGCCTATGGTGGCTGCTCCAGGGCTGTGTAGTACAACCACACAACAGTTGTTTTGGGGCCCGGCAGCACAATGCTGCAGTGGCCACAGCAGGACTGGGCCACATATGGCACCCACCCCAGCTACTGCAGAACACATAATGCATCTGGAATGTGGGGCTGGTCTGTGGGTCCAGTTCAGCGTTCATACCAGCCCCATTTTATTCATTCAGTCCACAAGGCCAGATACACTTGGCACCCCTGTCATAAATAATTGAAATTAAACTCTGCTGACAATTTGAGACTTTCTGTACTTTACAATATGTCTAAAAATAAAGTTCTTACTCATTGAAATTGTCATATTTTAGTAATTTTAAAGTTAAAAGCAAAACATATGTTTTTTTCTGCCTTATTGTACTTCTATTACTTGCAGCTGAAATGGTTTGTAAGCATAATTTTTACTCTTTCAGGTTATCTGTAACTCTGTCATGCCCTTTGGACTTGACCTTGTTTCCTATGGATACACAGCGTTGCAAGATGCAATTGGAAAGCTGTATGTAAATCAGTCTATGTCTAAAAATAACTACCTTCTAGACTTGTCTGGAAATCAAACAAATTATCTATATTATATTGTTAATGTTGCCATTTTGTAATGAGTTTTTAAAATTCATACTAGTTGATTGCTGCAAATATAAATTGGTGCATCTTTTCTGTAAAAACTGTTTGGTTGTGGAACCATTATTACTAGGTGTTGCTACCAAACAAAATGGTAGCTGAAGCCATTTATGGTGGATTGGGAAAGAAATGGGTATGAATATCCCTTGGAATCAGTAATTCCCTTGGCTAGTTTGGGGCTCAGTTCAACACTGGTATAGTTAAGTGTAATCAATTAAAGTAAATAGATTTCTATCTTCTTACACCAGATTTGAATGATGTTTTATAGGGTTTATTGACCCTGGGCTCAATCTTAGATTTGCCTATGTGTTTATTTTCTTGATTTTTTTGTTAGTAAACTTATTAAGGTGCCTTTGCTGGAAGATTTTTGGATTTGTTTTCCAAACTGTATATAGTTAGGTCATAATCCTGACCTCAGACATATACATGCATGTCAGAAACATTAGCAGAATATGGGAATGATGAACTCCATGCTACATTTTAGCTTTGTGGGGTCCTGATGTCCCAACAAATATGCACTAGAACAGCTATGCAGGCTTTCATAACCTGTGGTTAAAGGCACCAAAATGGGATGTGGTTTACTAAAACAGAACAATGATACACTAAAAAGATCTGCATCTGTTGAAGTCCTTCCTTGCCATTCTTTCCCTGACATTTTATGATACTCTTTTATCATTCAGCAGTTGTCAAAGTTACAGGAACTCTTTGCTTACCTTTCAACATGATCAAATCACATCATCCATCTGGCTCCTTAGTTTCTCTTCTCAGTTCTCAGCCCCCTTATGGCAATACATGGGATTTTGAGGCTGGTACAAGTAATAGATAATACGGGATGTCCAAAAAGGCTTTAAAATGAAGCGAAACTAGAAAGATTCCCTTTGCTTAGTTTAAAAAAGAGAGGAATGATAGAATATGTAATAGGTCAAAGGTAGTAAATTGAATACTCCTATTTATCCTTCTTTGAAATACAAGGAAAAAGGAGTAGTTATTGAAGCTGCAAGGCAGAAAATTTAGAATGGATAGTAGGTCATATTTTTTACTTAAATATAATTAGCCTTTGGCATTTGTTTTCACTTGGTATCATTGAGGTAAAGGATACATGGAGATTCAGGGAAGAATTAGATATTTCTATGAATAAATGACATAGCCATAGATACATTAGATAAGATTTTACTGTAATTAGAAGGAACATAACTCCTTGTGTGTGATCGAATTAGCTAAAATATGACTGAAAGTAACAGGAGAAACTTCTTCTATGGCTAGGTTATTTGATAACTGTCAACTTAAAATTTCATGTATCTTTCTCTGAAGTATCTGGTCCAGCAACTATTAGAAAGAAGATAGTGAACTTGATTGACTGTTGCTTTGATATGGTGTGACAGTTCCTGTGTTTGTGCCTCAGCTTATATAAGTCACCAAGTCTTCAGATTTATGTCTCTATATTTCCATCATCATTTAGTTTGTGTAGTGGTTAACACTGCACTCAGAATTTATATGAAATCCATCCTTGTCCCAGTACTGTCAACTGTTTCTGCTATAAGCAGAAGTTAGGCTCATCTTATAAAGTACAGGAGAAAATCAGCTTCTTTAATAATACCAACTATGTTACTACACACCTCAATTTTTATTTTTTTCCAACTGACCTTATGCCACAGAAATTACTCATGTCAGAATGTTCAGTAACCTTTTCTTCTTTGCTGCATTTAGCTCTTTTGTGCCATATGCTCTGAGGGCCATATATAACACCAATGCCAATATCCTTTATTTGAATGGCCAAAGTGATAAATAGATCTGATTCCTTTCTCATCTGGTTTTGCTTTTATATCTTTACCTACTGTTCTTTTGTCTCTAGTGGTTCTTGTGCCTTAGGTTCTAAACCACTCTACCTACTTTTCCTAAGCATTTTTCTTTATCTCACTTTTCTCATTTGCCATTTCACAATTTAATCACAGCTCTCACTTTGAAGCCTGAGAGGTGATTAGTCATGTTAGTCCGAAGTCAAACAGAAGATAAGGAAAGGTGTGGCACCTTAGGGTACCTGTAGATGTGTGGGATATTTGCCTCGATGTGCTGTAATTACAGCACATTGGAGCAGACTTGATTAATTGATTCTGCTGGAGCATGTTACTTAGCACACTCCAGCAACCTCTGTGTCTCGTGTATTCAGTGTCCCCACACTTCAAAATAGCAGTGGGGGTGCTTTAGCTAAAGCTCATCAAATGTGCTGCTTTTGAAGCAGTGGCAGCAAAGCGTGGAGGAAGGGCGCAGAGCCCAGCCTACCCTTGCCCTGCACAGAGATCAGAGGGGAGGGAGGCATGTGCCCCTCCCTTGGCTCCCCTGTGGTGCATGCAGTGGTGGGAACCACCCTCGCCCCCACCCCCCGCGCCCCTGGATGAGCCGCCGGACTCCAATCGTCTCTCGACCAAGCCTGGCTGGGGCCCCATTCACAGTGAATGGGGCCCTGGCTGGGCTGGATTGGGGGACAATACCCATAGTGCAGGAGGGAGTGGGGCAGGGGTATGGGTGAATGATTCGCCCTTGCCCCACTCCCTCCTCCACTGTAGGGATCTTGATCCCCAGCCCCAGCCCCACTCCCTCCCTCAATGCCATGCAGGGGGAAGATTGAGGTCCCTATGGTGAGGGAGGGAGTGGGGCACAGCCAGGAGCAGGGACTGGGGTGAGCGGGGCCCCGGCTGACCTGGGGGGTATGTGCCCCCCAACTGTGTGCGGGCAGAGACGTCTGCTGCTGCATGCTCTGCTTTGCTCTCTGCTGCAGTTGCCTCAGGAGCAGCCAACACCACGTGTCAGCATCAACATAGGGGTAGGGGTTATCATCAAGACTGGGACAGCCCCAGTCCTGATGCTTAAATGGGTTGTCAGGAACTGGGTTACAAGGCGTCCTCCCCACTGGGAATTTAGTGACCCTCATTCCTGGCAGTCTTTCCTGCTGTTCTCCGCAGCCCCAAAGGAGGGCTGCACTTTAAAGGCAAAGTACTTCAGACATTCTGATGCATGGAGACCCTGTATTGCGGAGAGACTCCCTAATCCTTGTGCATCAGGGAGGTCTAAAAACTGCATGTACAGCTCAGCTGCACACCCAGATTTAGCCATTCACCAGGACTCCAGGATCAAGTAGAGGCTTGGGGGTCCCAGCAGGGAGTCTATTTATTTGCAGGTGCCAGGTGGGGGAGCTTATTGACTGCCCCCACCCAGCACTTGTAAACCCATGCCTTGGGCTCCTTGCTGCTAGTAGCATGATTGGGATCTGATCCCTGATCCCAACAATTGTTCCATCTGTCAAAAGGATATCCTCCTGCCATGCAGGAGGTATGACTAATGGGATCGCACATCAGATCGCGGTGCACCATTAAGTGAATGCCTGCTACCCCCCTTATTTTTCTTAACATTCACTTAACCATGTACTTTGTAGGGCAATTAACTTGGAGTTATCTCTGACCCTAGAATTTCCATTTCTCTTATTACAGTTTTGTGCTTGTCTGGCTTACTTATCACCTCTACAACATAGTCTGTCACTTTCTCAGCATACACATGAAATTATTTTTTTTTGTGATTAAGTATTTGCACACCTTGATTACCATATTGCCCTCCTCAGCCTCTTGGAGCTATCCTAGCCAAACTACAGTCTACTAAGCCTGCTGTAATCTCACTCATACGTATTTCCATGGTCTTGAAAAGCCTTTAAGAATGAAGAATTGCCATTTACTGGGTCAGACCGTATGTCCATCTTGCCCAGTATCGTGTGTCTCATCCACTTATGTTGCATCCATTGATCCTTCCTGATCATGCCCATAATGGCCTCTGTATTCCCTTCTTTCTCCTCTGCTTTGACACTTCAGGTATTTTTTCAATTCTCTGTCCCCATTTTATGTTGAAAGTTGATCTTTTCCTTAGCACCATCAGCTACCAGGAACAGTGCGCTTTATCTGTCATTCCTCCACTAATTTCTCATCCCTTATAAAAATACCTTTTATAACTCATGCTATGCTGCCTATACTACATTTTATTGACTAGTTCCCCACAACTATATTTATTGTTACGAACCCTACATGTATCTCTTTGTCTTTTGGACAGTCAGTCTCTCCACTTCTGGTTTTTCATTGAAATGTATTGTGCATTGTGAAAATTATAAGAGTGATTTATTAGTGATGCATCAAAGCTTACTTTCATAACTTTTATAACACACATTTGGAGGTGGGAAATTTAGAGAAGTTTGAGCTTTCACAAAAACATTACTACCTTTTTAAAAGTCCGAGAGCTGCATTAATGTTTTAGCTTAATTAAATCACAGCTATTTTTTTAATGTGAAATACACCTTAGTAATTCTCACCTCCTGAATAGGACAGCGCCATAAATATTTTTAAAAGACACATTTTAGAGCATTTAACTGCATTCTAAACATACTCTTTTCATGTCTCTTACCTGTACTGCGATTTGTCACTCATTAACTATATTAATTTCATTTTTAATGAATACAGGCCATACAGAAATCACATTTTGTAAAATCATGAAAATGAAAACATCTTTAGTTAGTAACATATCATGTTTACTCCATCACCTTGCACCTTGTGGAATTGGATAGGCCATGATTTAGGCAAACATTTAAATATGTGTTTAAATCGATCTATTTTCCAGAAAGCATTTAAGCATTGAAACCACATTTACTTTTGTATAATTTAGGCCCAAGTATTTTCCTGAATGGAGGACTTTCCTAAATCAGGGCTTTAAATCTGTACAAAATAAATGCAAATTAGGTGTGTGGCTACCAAATCAGAATGTTAGTTCTGTGCCCCCTTTTGTACTCAGTAAAGGCCCAGATTTAGCCAAGCAATTAAACACATTCTTACATTTCTGTGTTAAGCAATGAGACTTAAGACGACATTTAAGGTGTTTCCATGTTTATATCCTTTGCACAATCAAGATTTAAATTACTACACAAGTTTCAAAGTATTGGAAAATAATTTTCTCAATTTAAATAGCGAGTACTAAATTGACAATCTTACATTCAATTTCAGTTTTCAGTAATATAAAATCATTTTGAGCCCTACATAAGAAATACACAATAAAAAATCTAGTGATGAATCATCTGATTATGTTGTGACAGGAAGCAGAATTCAAATAATCAGAGAATATTCTATAACATATGAATTTCTTTCTGATTTTACTCTGATTTAAGAGTTGTTTAATTTTTTTCCTTGTAGTTGGTTATACAACTGATGATTTACGTTTTATTTGGCAATCTGGAGATCCTGTTCAGTTAGAGAAAATTGCTTTGCCTCAGTTTGACATTAAAAAGGAGGATATTGAATATGGTAACTGTACCAAATATTACAAAGGCACAGGTAGGTAATATTTAGAAACTTATTTGTTGAAAAATGTCAAGCTGCTTTAAGTTACTATGTATTGTCATTGGCTAACAGTCAAGTTTATAGTTTCTGTTTTGCATGAGAGAAAATTAGTAACATAGATTTTTAACTAATCAGTAATTTAAAATCAGAATTATGCAGCAACAGTCAAATACAATAACCACAAACTAATACAGAAATTGAGACATCGAATTTAGAGATCCTGATAAAAGGCTTTATTGATTTTGTTTAAGTGTTTTCTGGTCCTCCAGGAGTCATTTCATTTCCAAAGTCTCAAGAAGAATTATTTAGGCCTGGAAGTGGCTTGGTTTTTCTAATTCTCAGTGTATCTAGAATTTCTCTCTTAAATTGTTTTAAACTTGGGACCTTTTGGTTTCTTGAGTTTGTCAAATGTTATTTCAGAAATGGGTAATACTTTACTATTAGTATTTCAAACTTTGTTTTGTGTAGCTTCTTGCTTTCTCTATGTGCTTTTGAAAACAAATCACTATGGCAAGAATTTATTTTGTATTTGTACCTTTGCAATAGCATGATTATGTGCTGAAATCTAAGCACTACTACTTTTTTACAATGGTGTCTGTAGTCTGGCTTCTGATGGTTTATCTATTGTTACCTCAATTGAACATTGTAGTATTCAGGAAGCTGCTCACATCCAGATGCAATCATCTTTGTTTTGCTTGGTTCCATTGTAGTTTATAAGTTGTAAAAAGCTCCCAACAAAATTTGCAGACGGTAGCTCAGGGGAGGGAAAATTCTGAGAATTCCTTTGAAATGTTGATAATTGCTAAATGAAAGGGTCTTTTACTCTAGAGGTACTGTGGATCTAGACCCCGTGTTTGGAGAGTTCTCAACTAATGTTAGTGAATCTTGGAACCATTAAAGTTGAAACTGGGTGAGATGGTCATTGTTTCAGCTTGGAGGGCAAACATTCTTTACAGCTGTAATCATAACTACAACAGGAGTACATTCCTAACCTGGTATGTCTGCCTGAGGAAACATATCATTGCTAGTTGATTTATCATTTTTAAATATTATAGAATTACTTCACACCTTCAACTGGTAAAATTATATAGTTGTAAAAGTACAACTCACAATTACCTAGGCAATAATTGCACTCAGGTATAAATTCGCGTCAGCTACAAATGTATGTAGCAGCCACAAAGTCATTTCATTCTTAAACAATTAAACAACGCATTACTCAAAAATGGTAACAACCAGACTTAAAAAAACTAAATAAAAAAAGATTGAGCTTAGGATTTTTAGGGGAAACAGATGCTAGTACACAAGAGACAGGCTTGTCTTATCTGAGGGACAGATTTCTATCCTATGCCTTTAAATTATTTAGCAAAGATGAGGGCAATCAGAGGGAATGCTATCCTAAATTAATTTATTTTGATAACATGTTCAGAACATAACTAAACAGTATGCCTCTATTATCAATAAGAAGCAAAATAGTAGTGGTGTTCTGCCATGATCCACCATTTTTGACAGTATATTGAGATATTAATGAAATATTGTATGTGTCAGCATAACATGTTCCTCCCTTTTCTTTTGTGTACAGTTTGATCATCAGTAAATGACTTAACAGTTAGAAATGGTTAAACAAAGACACAGAATTTTTCTGAAAGTTTTCATTAAACTGTTGACTCATCTTTTTCTTAAAAATGAAAATGTTTTGTCATCTGGTAACAATGGATTTGCAATGATATGGTATATGCTAGAAATATTTGGCAGTTTCAAAGAAGGAGCCTGATCTTGTAGGGTTACCATATTTCCAGTTTCAAAAAAGAGGACACTTGTTGGAGGGAAGGGGCATATGATTGTGAGGGGAGGGCAATGATATGCCCATGTCCTGCCCCTACCCCTCACTCCCAAACCCAGTGCCCCTCCCATCCCTGCTGAAACCCCTCACTCCTGAGCTGCAGCGCCTTATCCACCATGCCCTGCTGGTGCTCCTCACTCCTGACTTGCAGCACCTACCCAAACCCTGCCAGTGCCCCTCACTCCTGACCTGCAGCTCTCTGTCCCTGCTAGCCCTGCTGTCATGCATCTCCCTGCTGCTCCCAAAGAACTTCCTCACCCCTTTCCCTAACTGGGAGACCAGGCATATCCCCCTGCCTCCCCACCCTGCTGCAACCCCAGCTTCAGCAGGCACACATGCCCCCACCCAGACAGTCTCCAGCCCTGGCCCTCCAACCCCTGCTCCCCATAAACTTAACTGCCTGCAGCTGTCAGAGCTGTGTGCAGAGCATGTGATGCCCAATTGTCCAATCACCCTGTCCCCG